GGCGCAAGCAACTGTTGTAAAATTTAGATTGTTAAATAAGAGTGTGGCACAAAATGCCCATCATTCTGATTTTTCAGTCCTTATCACTTAGAGTATGACTTTGGGTGCTCTGAGTGATGAAGCTCTCAGATCATTAGTATACAAAGAGTCAGAAGGCTGATCTAATCACTTCTTCCTCAGAGAGTGATTCAGCAGATCAGGATAGGAACACAGGAATCTGCATTTTTAACTAGTACTGAAGGTGATTCTGATGAAAGAGGATCACTATGGAGTTCTAAGCACTGACCACAAAATTCTACTTGGAAAAAATATTTAAGAGTAGATATGTCTGATTAATAATAATTTGTAAAAATAGATATATCACTTGTTGTAAGTACCTTACCAAAAGTGAGCTTCATGTTTGAAATAAATAAAACTAGAAGAAAACCCATTGAATAGACGTTACTGACCTTTAAAGTTAATAAACTGGATGTCTTAACCAAAGAGACAAGGGCCTAACCCACAGTATTCTGTGTGATGAAGCATTCTGCATCCACTCTTTTATAATTCAATATGGATGCTATTAATCAGAGTACTCTGACTAATCTTAATTGTCTTGCTGCTGTGAGGAGATGTGATGTATTCTCCTGTCCAAGTACTAACCAGTCCCGACCCTGAGGTATTTAGACCATGTGGGGTATATTACTAATAATCATTGTTAAGTAAGCAGATGAAGTGAAATTGAAATGACACAGCTCAGGTGTCCAGTCAGTGTTTCCTGTTGTTTGAACTGGAAAATTTAACTTTTCATGTCAGAAATACAACATAATTAATTTTCCATCTGATATTCCTGTAATTTATATTTACATATATTAACATGCATGCTCAGACACATACATAGAGCCATGTTTGATAACCAAAAAGAAGTCCCAGGGGCTCCTTAGTATGTAATTAATACTTTGGTCAGGAAAATCAGCAGATTGTTTCAGTATGGTTGTATGTTATGACATCATATTCCAGTAAAGTTAAAATGAACAGAAATTCTGTTTGTCTCTGTGGCAAACTGAAATGAGTTTTGTAATTGTCAGCAGGCCTTAGTGATTATAGTGGCGCCCACTCCCTCTACTGTAGTTAAAGGACTGTTAGCATTCCATTTATGGACCTCTATTTTCAGAAGTTTATAATTAATTGTAAACATTTGCTCTATTGGTGAAAGCTTACCACGTAAGATCAGTTCAGGAGAAATTTCTCGTTTTAAGTTGTCTGTTTTAAAGTTTTACAGAACCAGTTAAAATATGCATAAAGTTCTGTGGAGGCAGGGAAACTGAATTTGTGGAATACAAAGTGAAGATAATTTGCATTATTCATGTTAGCTGAAATTTCTGCACTGAAGGAATCTAAGAAAAGTAACAAAATTGTGCACTTTGGTACCTCATTTAGTTATTGTAATCAAAGACAAAAAAATCTATGAGTTTTAATGCTTTTTAGTCTTTAACACTAAAAATAGTTTTTAACTTTGATATTTTTTCCTTAGCTTTTTATATTTGCTAATTAAAAAATGAGAACATATGACTTATACAATAAAAACATTTAAAACACTATCTTAAAATGAATCAGTAAAAACTGTAGGCCAAGAAAATTGACTTAAAAGTTTATAACAACAGCTTTTTCTTTTTTCATATTCTGAATTTCTCCACTCCATTTGACACTGTTGATTATTCCTTTCCCTGACATTATGTTGTAATTTCTTTTCTGACTCTGACCCTCTTTCATTTCCTTCACTGCATTCTATTGTTTCCCCTGCACTTTGATCATAGGCATCAATCAGATCCTAGCCTCAGGCTCTTTTTGGTTCCTTTACACTTACTCTTTCCAGGTGTTTATCCACATGCATGGTTTCAATTATTGCCTCACTAATCTGCGTCTTCAGTACCAATCTACATCCGTAGTCCTTCACTTTCAATAAACCTTTATTGATTAGTCCCATCTGTCCAGTGAATTCTTACTCTGTGGGCTCTCTCCAGTTTATCTCAGATCAACTACAAAATAGCACTACTTGGATTTCTAATAGTCATTTAAAACATAGTAGGACCTCAGGATGAGGATGTAGCTTGATAGTTGAGCACTTGCCTAGCATTCACAAGGTCCTAGGTCCTAGGTTCAATTCTCAAAGCCTCAAAAACCACACAAAGAGATCATAACAGGACCTCAATGGGACTGTTTTTTGCTTGGAAACAAAACATTTTCCAGCACTGGAGTGATTTTTAGCTTAATTTTTATGCATTACAGTTGTAAATCCACCATCCCATCAAAATTTATCCTATTTGTTTTGCTAAATTGCCTAATTTAATAATCATATCTCAACAATCATTTTAGTTGACCTATGAGTAACAGTTATACAATCAATCCTTCCGTCTCCCTTGATATACAGTACTGTTTTCTTTCTATTTGGCTTTTGGGAAGGACACCACGCATGCCTGATCTTCCTCTTATTAGTGTCTCCCACAGAGTTCTCATTGTTTTATGGCTTTAGATACCATCTGTATATTGATGTTTCCCAAATTTTAACTGTCTCAGACCTCTTTCCTAGAGTCAGCCTCATAAATCTGTCTACTTGACATCTCTGCTTGGTCGTCTTAACAGCTCTAAAACATCTCTGAAACAGAGCTGCTGATACCTAACCTCAGCAAATCCATTCCTTTTGGAATCTTCATTGTCTCAACAATGGATATTGTAAGTTCCAATTACTTAGTTCCAAAAACCTGGAGTCATCCTTAACTACTTTCTCATATTCCATAGCCAGTCCTTAGGTAAACTCATTTCTACTTTAAAAATTCATCCAGAATGACTTCTCACTTCTGCTATATCCTAGTTCAAGCCACTGTTACCTTTCTGTGGATTATCTCAGTGGCCTACCGTTAGATATGCCTGCTTCTACCATTATTGTCCTATAGTTTGTCCTCAACATAGTAGGTGATTCTTGCAAAATGCAAATCATATTATGTCATTTTTTTCCTGCTCAGAATGGCTGGCCATTACACTCTGGGTAAAACTCAGTCTCTTCCAGGTTCTCTAGGGAAGGCCTAATGGAATCTTCTCACCTCTTCTCATTTTCTAGGTTCCTCCCTCAACTCTAGCTAGATGATCTTCCTCTGAGTTACTTGAATGTGTATGACATACTTCTTCAAGGCCTTTGTACCTGCATTTTTTCTGCCTCTCATGCACTGTCCCAGATACTAGCATGGTTTGCCTCTCACTTATTTCAAATCTTTACACAGTTGGCATTTCCCAGTGTGGGTCATCCTATCTAAAATTTATCTCTTTGCTTCTGAACACTACCTTCTTTTTCTTGTATGTATTTCTAACATACTAGATATTCTACATATTTATCTTGTTTATTGTCTTCCCCACTATGATGTATACTTTTGTTTATTTTCATAGCCCTCTGTCATATAGAAGGCATTCCACAATTAATTGAATAATGGATCTTATTGTGTATCTTCCTAGATTTTTCTTCCTAGTTTCTTCTAGATTTGTTCTTCTTTCAGTCTCATCCCCTCATCTGCAGTTTTCTAGTCACATTTTGTTACCTTAGTCTCATTAAACATAAACCTGCTAAGATTTTTCACCTTAAATACATTTCATTATACTTCCTGCTTAAGAATTGGCATAATCTCTTGCTCAACATCAATAACCATGAGAGAAATACAAATCAAAATCACAAGTAGATACCTTCTTACCTCAGTTAATATGACTATTACCCAAAAGACAATAATGAATGCTGACAAGGATATAGAGAAAGAGGAACTCTCATATGCTTAGTAGGAATGTAAATTAGTACAGTCTTTATGGAAAACAGTATGGAAGTTCTTCAGAAAACTAGAAAAACATTTCATATCTAAAAAGCTCACTACTGGATTTTTATCCAAAGAAATTGAAATCAGTATGTTGAAGAGACATCAGCACTCTCATATTTTTTGTGACACTTCACGTAGCCAAAATTTGAGGTCCTTTTAGGTGTCTATTAATATTGGAATGGATAAAGAAAATATGGTATATGTACGCAGTGGAATATTGTTCAATTATGAATGAAATTCTGTCATATGCAGCGACATGGATAGAACAGATGAAAATTATGTTAGTGAAATAAATTGGGCACAGAAAGAAAAATACTATATGTTCTTACTTATTTGTGGAAACTAAAAATGTGGTATCAAAGAAATGTAGAGAATAGAATAGTAGATACTGAAGCCTGGAAAGAGTGTTGGGGAGAGAGGGATAGAGAGAAGATGGTTAAGAGAGGTTATGTAGAATAGGAGAAATAATTTCTGATGTTCTGTATAGTACCTTAAGATAACTATTGTTGACAAGAATTGAGTATTTCAAAATAGAATTTTGAATGTTTGCAGCACACAAAAAATTGATATATGTCTCGGGTGATGGGTATGCCAGTTACCCTAATCTGATCATGTACACAATGCATACATGTATAGAAATGTCACACTCAACCCTGTAAATACAGTTGCTATGTGTCAATTAAAAATAAAAATATATTTAAAAAATGATATTCTTCTTAGTGCTTTGCATTGTACTAAGTCCATCTCTCTGCCCTCATATTTCTGATTAGAACTATTTTCTACTAAAATCACAATAATCTGCATGTTGACATCTAAATGAGTTTACCTTCTCCAGCTTCTGTAGTAGCTCCCGTATTGTTAGTGCCAAACCCTTCAACTCACATGTGTTAAAATCTGACAGCTGACTAGGAAGTCTTCTGTAATATTGCTAAATAATTTATACTGTATTTATGTTTAATGTTGTACTCATTGTAGAGATCAGTATTCAATTATCTGTATGACTCAACATTTTATCTCTTATAAGTACATTCATGAGGTTAGAATTTTATTAGGGTTAGTAGGGGTATATTATATAGTTGGTAGCACTCTAAATGAAACACATTATTAATGATTATAGAGTGGTTTTATTGTACTAACATTAGTGTTTTTGTTTTCTTATTTTAGGTATCATTGCCCAGTGCCTAAGATCTTTTATGTTCAGCTGACTGTAGGAAATAATGAATTTTTTGGTGAAGGGAAGACTCGACAAGCTGCAAGACACAATGCTGCAATGAAGGCCCTTCAAGCACTGCAGAACGAACCTATTCCAGAGAAATCAGCTCAGGTGTGGTAGTGCTGCATGTAACAGTCTTTCTTAGACTTCCCCAGAGAGATTATTGACCAGAAAATAAATATATCCTTAAAAAAAAGAAATAATCTGTTCTGCTAAGGGACAGTACTAGAGTGATAATATGCTAAGCCTTGGTTCTCAGACTACTTGTCTGCTATGCTAGACTCATTTGTTCCTGCCAGGATGACCTAACCTTTCAGAACTGTGGTTCACCTCTAGAGTTCACTTTACAGCCAACTCAGGATTTTCGGATGTGTGTATAAAGATCAGAGATAACATTCATTTGCTTTGCATTTAATGTTATATTAATTGGGGATAAATTACATTGTGTTAACCTAGAGTCAAGGAATTTAAAGTGCAAAGATCTTTATGGATTTTTGAATTCCAGTTTATTTTACGAATGAGGCTGTTGAAGTTATTCTTGAGTAGCTCATTCTTGTGGTATCAGGTACTGTGTCCATCCACCTTTAAACAGTATCTCTAGCATCTCAGGAATGTCTTATGGCATTGTCAACTTATTAGATTTCACCACTTAGTTATTTCAAATCCTAAAGTTCAACCTCTACAATTACCCTTTCCCAAACCTTCTTTGAAATTTATTTTAATGAGAGACTTAGGTGTTTTTTCTGCTTGTACCCTTTTGTTGTAACTCTTACCTGTTTATGTTTTCCAATTAGATCACAAGCTTCTTCATGGTAGGAATACTATTTCTAATACACTGTATCATTATGATGTTTCCCAGAAGTATCTGTTAAATAAGTGAATTGTGCGAATGCCAGAGACAGAGCTCCAATATCTTGGTTTTCATCCTGTACTCTTTATATGACTCCCCCTTTGTAGATCATATTAGAAAACTAGTGGAGAATTGTGTGGGAGCAAGATTTCCAAATTCAGTGTCAAATGCTTCTATTTCAAGTAGAAAAACTGAAAACCAAGGAACAGAAAGTCTGGCAATAAAAGCCTTTGGCTACTGTGGTTAAAAAAAAAAATCATTTGCTTATAGTCTATTTGCCTTTTCCTATTTTATTTTAGCTGAGTCCTCTTGATTGTAGAATATATGTAAAGTTTGTTACAGAGTTAAGATTCAATAGTGTCCATTTTTGTGATTTAGAATGGTGAATCAGGAAAAGAAATGGATGATGACAAAGATGCAAATAAATCTGAGATCAGCTTAGTATTTGAAATTGCTCTGAAGAGAAATATGCCTGTCAGTTTTGAGGTATGTGCTGTTTGGAGATCTTGTAATTTTTTTTCTCTTTGGTTATTTTAGCAAAGAAATAAAACTAACTGGTGTACTAGAAACCTGCAAGAGTTAATATACTTCCTTATGTTCAAATTTACTATCATGAAAATAAAAATGATGTCAATATTTTGGATTCCTACAGATCTTTCTTTCTTCTGTGTTAAGCCATTTATATACATGATACAGTATTTTAGTTTTAATCATAAAATTTATTTTCTAGGTGTAAGATAATTTGTAATACTGTATAGGATTTGATATTTTAAATGAGACAAAATACTAATTAACATTGTGATTCTATTGAATTTAATATCAAAGTTAATACTGACACATTTATGTTAATGTCCAATTTTTTTCATTGTATGGAGGGCAAAATATATTTAACTTTTTGGTGGGGGGAGGTGCTGGGGATTGAACCCAGGGGTCTCATGCATGCTATACCTGTACTCTACCACTGAGCTGACGCTCTCAACCCCTCAAATATGTTTCACTTTAGCTAACAAATCACCAAGAAGTAATGAAGCAGCTCTCTCCAACTAGATAGATAGATCACAAATACATTTAAGTTATATAAAACCTAAAAGAAAAAAACTATAATTATTATATCTCGAAATTAAATGGTCAGTAATTTTGGAAGTCATATCTGGAATGTGGGCAAGAACCAAGAAATAAGCTGAAATAGTTGTAGAGAATTCTCCTTCAAATTGTACAACATTCCTCTACTAGATAGCTCCCATAGTGTACTTGTAACCAGTTCATCTGACCTGGACTGAGAAACTGCTTTCTTTTTGGACACAATTCTAAAACTTGGGCTCTCTGGTTTTTTTGTCTGTAGTAGATTAAAAGCAACAAAAAGTAGGAGACAGTGAGAGAATGACACAGGGTGATTAAACATACTTATCCTATCATTCTGGACACTTTCTGAAGCAGTTCTGGAAGTTCTTTTTCATCAGTGTCTTTAGTTGCACTGTTATGACTATCTCGATGTACAGAATCTATTTAAAACATTTACCTTTCATGGTGAATTTGATTTTGGGGATGAGCTAAAAGCCACACAGTACCAGATCCAGTGAATAAGGTAGAACTCAATAGCAGCATTCACTATGCTTTCTGAGCATATTGAAAGGATACTCACAAAAGAGGACTTGCAGACCTGCTTCAGAAAGTGGGAAGAGTGATGCGACAAGTGTGTTGAGATTAAGAGGAAATATTTTGAGGGGGATTAATGGCAGTGTGTCTTTTACTGTAGTAAAAAAGTTAAACATTCACCATATAGTTCAATCATACCTTGTACACAAGAGCCTATTGGTGAGCCGGGGATTTAGCTCAGTGGCACAGCGCCTGCCTGACAAGTGCAAGGTCCTGAGTTCAATCCCCAGTACCAAAACCAAAAAAACAGCGTATTGGTCCCAGCAAGAAATGACAGGAAAATTGTGGAAAACCTGTAAAAAGTAATGACCATATACTAAAAATTATTAGCTCTTTTAAAGACCACTGCAAATACCAACAGTTTTGTAAGTTTTAGAAGTCCTTGGGTACGTCAGTGTATTATAATAGGGAATAATGTATACTAATGATAATCAAATGTGAACAATAGCAGTTAAATGTTTAGTATTTGCTGGTAAGTCAGTAAAACTTACACTTTTGTTTGAGAAGGATGTCACTCAAAGTGGTTAAATGGTGTTTAATTCAATAAACTTAAATTACTTGGAAAGTGTCTTATGATAAATTGCTTATCCTCAGTGATGATTGAGTGTTGAGATACTGTTGTTTTTATTCCCTTTCCTAATTGTTATCCAATATTAAAAAAATTTCAATATAATGTTAAATAGAAACCCAAATAGAATATCCTCTGTAAGTCAGAATTTTGAAGGAAACTAAAGTTTTGAGTATTCAGATTTTGGAAGGCACCTTTTCTCCAAAAGCTGGCATGGTAGAAAAGTAAGAAAGAGATTAAAGAAGGCTTAGGAATGTTCTTAGCTGATAGGTTAATAATTTGTTATTCTAGAAAGCTAGACATTTTTATTGCATATCAACATACCTTCTTAAGATTGTGAGAGTAAATATGTTTCTTTAAAACAACCTTTGTGTGATCTCTGTCAACATGCAATTAATTTTCACCTATTTGACTGTTTTTGAGAGGCTTCCGCAGGCAGAATCCTTCCTTCACAGGTTGTAAAATACAATAAGACACCCTCCTTACCTTGGAAATTGTAACTCTAGATGGCTTTTTAAGAATATAATTGGCTGTGCCCCTCAAAATAAAAAACCCAGTAAAAAAAAAAAATGGGCAGCTGAAATGAATACATACTTCCCAGAAATAAGTACAAATGGCCAATAAATACATGAAAAAATGATCAACATCGCTGGCCATTCAAGAAATGCAAATTAAAACAACACTGAGATTTTCAGCTTACTCTGGAAAGAATGGCTATCATCAAGAAATCAAATAATAACAAATAGGGGAGAGACTGTGGGGAAAAGGAACCCTTTTACATTGTTGGTTGGGATATAACTAGTATAGTTCAACCACTGTGGAAATCAGTATGGAGATTCTTCAGAAAACTGAAACTAGAAAATCAATTTGATCCAGCTGTTCCCATTTGAGGTATCTTCCCCAAAGAGTTAAAAATCATTGTGTTACAGTGATACATGCATACATATATTTATAGCACAATTCATAAGAAGTAAGTTTTAGAAATGGCCCATATGCCCATCAACAGATGAATAGATAAGGAAAATGTGTCTATACACAATGGAGTACTACTCTGCCATAAAGAAAGTTAAACTTGAGGCATTCATAAATAAAGTGAGACCATATTATTAAGCAAAATAAATCAGATCACAGTATTAAGTGAAATAAATCAGACACACAAGCTTAAATGTCACATGGTTTCTCTTATATAAGAAGCCCAAAATATAAATAAAGAGCAGAATAAAAGATAATAGGAAGTAGGGAGATGTTTTTCAAATGGGAAGGGAACAAGACATGGAAGGAGGGGAAAGAAAAGGGAGGAAAGAAAAAGAACTGAAAGAAAAATATGGAAATAGAGCTTTTGGAAATGGGAAGGGGACCAAGAGATGGAAGGAACAGGGTGGGCTGGGAGCAGTAGGGAATGAAAAAAAGAATTAAGTTGTGTTATGTGTATGTACTAACTTCCCATGATAAATGTAATCATTATATAATTCAAACGTACTAATTTCTAAAAATCTAATAGGGTGTGTTTTATATTTTTAGTTTTGTGTTTTGAAAGACATGGGGGAAACCATAATTAGAATTCTCTGTTTTAAAGTAATAAAAACAATTTTGATTATGAATTGAATGCGTTTGTCCAGATTTCTTTCAACTTGAGTTGATTAGAAGTATCCTAAATGAATATTTCTTATATACTTTTTTTTTTCAGTTTATTCATTTTATTGGCAAATGTATTTCCTTTCTTTTTTTTTTGTTAAATTCTTTTATTGGTACATTGTAGGTATACAACACAATTACATTTCTCATTGGGAGTTGTACCTTTACATAATGCATCTTGGTTCTTATTTTTTCCCCATTCCTAGCCCTC